AGGAGAGAGAGAGAGAGGGCTTGGAAAACCAAGCCTCTCTTATACAATTGAGTAGAGGCTCATAGAAGGGTGGCTGCATCTCCATTCTTAATTTCTAAGATCTCTAATCTAGATCTACGGCCTTCATTCATCCAATAGTTAATCTCGTTATCAAGGCTGATTGCTCTTGTAAGTAGTCAAGAAAGCATTTTTTGGTAAATCTAACTTCGCCATTGTGTTCAAAACACCTTTTTAAGCTAAGATCAATTACTCATATGCCTTAATTCATGCTCAATTATAATTTTCATGGAAGTATTTATTTACAAGGATCTTGGCAATTTTTTTGTAAAATTTTTGTACAATAGTATGAATAATATGTCGGTCATGGCAATAGCTGGAGAATACCTTTTCCTTGCACTAACACCAAATCCAAAAACTGGTTACATCAAAATAGAATCATTGAAAAGCTTGCATCTTCTTAATATTTAAATTTTTTTCTACTTTCGGTGAAGAAGAGTCATTTTTTGATTGGTATAGAAAAATGTTACAAAAAATTCAACTATCAGCATAATATCCATTTCCTTTGAATTAAGATATCTACCTATTCTAAAAGCATTAGAATATAATAGATCTATCATCCATATCACTTTAAAATATCCTCCATCTCATCCGGAACCTTTTTATTTGGAAAAAACTTCCTAACAGATCTATCACCATTGGTTTAAATCTTCCTATCTGTATTTATTTATATTTTTTATTGGAAAAATCTATTGAAGAAGAATAAATGGAAATACTTATAAAAAAAATTGTTCAAAACTACTATGTGATAAATGTTGTATAATCCTTTGAAGTACCATTGAAGAATGAGTTGGATGAAATATTAAATAAGAACATGTGTGTAATTAATGCTCAAAAAATTATTCAAGCTTATAGAAATAATTTCCATGCATTCTTCACACCATTCTTATGGCTACTGTACTAATATAATTTGATCATACCAAAAATGGTTTCACAATTTAAGTATAAGGAGTGATCCTAAGTTTTCTGAAATATAAGCAATGGCTCTTAAGCTTTCAAAAATGTAATCTACTTTTATGGAGTGCCCTAAGAGTATGTAAGATACTTCATACATGCAAGACTGTTATAGAAACAGTGTTTGTAATCTACGTTACAATTACAATCAAATAGTAAATTTTCATCTGAATTATTAATTCCAATTGTGAGATCTTTAATATTAGTATTTATATTAATATGATTCATTTATTTAATTTTCGTAGTATTAATAATTATTGCAATATTAATAATTGCTCATTTTTATAAATTATCTTTCATAGATTTCAACATCTTCAAAAATACTATAAATATTTTCTAACTTCACATCAAAACATGTTAAGATTTGTTGCTTAAAGAGGTGAAGCATAGTTGACTTCATTACAATATAAAAAAAATTAAAAGCATAAAAACATCATCGTTCATTTTCAAGTGTTTGTGATATTTGAGATTGATAATATTCTATCTTGTATTATAGTCACACAGCTTTGTAACCCATTGCAAGTAAATTAGATAGTTTAAAATTCATTATGTATAGTAGAATATTTTGAATTAGTTATTATATGACTAAATGGTTGCTTATAAAGTGGTTGAGGATGTTGAAGCTGAATTTTGTCTTGTGATCAAATTTGCATAAGACTTAAACTATCTAGGCCTTGTTAAATCAACTATCTCAGTTTATATGGAGCCTTAGATCAAATTATAGTAGATGATAGAATATCCTTAAATTGGAAGATAAGAAGTGATTTGTTTTCAAGACTAAGATGTATATAAAAAAAATAAAAATAAAAATAACTAAAAAGACAATAATCAAGGGTTAATGTTAAGAATAAGAAAGCCTAAAGGCCATAAAAAGAACTAAATGAAGAAATGAGTTGATAAGACTAAGGAGGGCCTCAATCTTATCTCTACTTATACTACTTGTAAGACCTAAGGTTAAGAGTCTAAGCATTTCATGTCTTGCCATGCAAGCTATTAAATATCTTATTAGCCAAAAGTCTCAAGAAGCTCTTTAAGAAGATTCCAAAATAGACTTGTGGTCCAAGGTAGACTTCATTCTTATACTATTCTATAATTTTTCTATAGCTCCAAACATAAGGGACAATTCAATTTTTTGACTAGTAAAGAAGATATTGTATAATGAGTAGAACTTAGCCACCTAGCTATCTTCATACCGAAATATTCTTGTGATAATTAATTATATGTCGTGCTCTATGCTCCTACACTTATAAAAGAATCGTAAATACATTTTACAACAAATAAGGATTCAATTTCTATTTAAATCAATGACATAGTCAAATAGAGGTAAGATTTAGATATTCTAATCAAGCAAAAAAAGGCACTAATAATGGCTAAAAAGTCATAGATACAAAAAAAAGAAAGAAAAATAAAATATCTATATATATATATTTTTGCTATTAAAATTTGCCATCTATGATAAGTCAGTCTTGTCCATTATCAATGTTGAATAAAAATGTAGAATTTAAAAAATCATGCGTATTTTTATTTATATATTAATATTATTTTAATATAAAAATATAAGAACGCCTTTTTTGTGAAATAAAAAAATAAATAGTTAACAAAAAAAATATTCTTATTATATTTTTATTTTTTATTATAAATTATTTTACTTTCTATATAGTTTGGAAAATAAAACATATTAGAATTATCAACAAAAAATTTAACAGAATAAAAGAATTTAAAAAAATTATTGAATGAGTGACAAGTTGTGACAATAACATAAACTTTGGTGACATATGATGGATGACAAAGTGTGGTGACCAGTAACATCTCTTAGAAATGTTAAACATCAATGTCACACAAATCTGTATTTGTTCTAAACCTTTCACATATGGGATACTTGCTGCTAATTAAGGTTTTGCACAATCAAAATCAAATGAAAATTTTAATCCAGTAAAAAGACTTGTCTAATATCCAAGTAAGCACCAATAAATATATAAATATATATATATATATATATATATATATTTTATACAACAAATTCATACAACATATCCACTGCTTGTATATAAAGTTGAAACTGCAGAAAACTTTAAACTCTAAATAATTATATTTTGAAACACAAAAGATTTAAAAATACTTCCTAAACCAAAACCATAAGATTTGTGCAATTGAGCTTTCAAATGATAAAACTTAAACGTAGATTATCAAATTCAGAAGAATAAAATTACCTCGAAATACCAAATATTTATACCATACTGATGTTGCACAAAAGGAAGATATTATTTCCTAGTAAGATTGTTGCGTACATTATTTCATTTGGATTATTTCATTTGATCATAATTTAATAATTTAAAATTTATTTAAATTTTATTATTTAATTTATTAACAATCATTTTTAGTTGTAAATTCATTTAGAAAGTAAAATGAACAATTATCTTGTCACACAATAATCATAGTTATCATTTAATTATCTTTTTTAGTATATACAATGTATGTACATATTTTGAGAAATTTCATTTTTGTCCAAAATCCTCAATGTGAAATATTTTTTAAAAAAATTACTAAAATATTTTATTATTATTATAAACTAAATATGAGTACAAATATAATTGTACATATGTTTATACTACTTTTATACTGAATAGTACCATGAGTATTTTATTAGATATCTTTTGATATATTTCTTTGACAAATATTGTCACAATAATTAAATCAACAAAAAAAAATAATAAAAATAAAAATAATAAAAAAAAATTTAAAAATCCTAAAATAGAAATGCCCAACATGGATATGTTAATGTATATTGAATAATATTTTTTAATTTCTATTTTTAAAACTTATTCATTACTCAAAATTGGTGATAATTTTAAAACTTGGGTTTAATGCATAAATAAATATATATTAACATATCAATTAAGTGGAGTTGCAGCTAAATATAATGTGTCTGATTTTATGTTTATCACATGCAACTGACTCCCTCCAATCTTGTTTTAAAATGCCTTTGACTTGCTACAATCAGCTCAAAGAAGTACACATAATACATCAGAGGACAAATATCATCTGATTTTTAATTGGAGATTCACAAATTGCTCCAAATAAATATATTTCATGAAAGAGTTCTTAGATGAAAAAAAGCCTTCAAATATTTTGATATCCAGCATTTGTAGTATTGTCACCTCAAATTTTTCATGCGACTACAACAAAATAAGTGATGAAAGGGCCTTATAAAGAAAATGTGATCGGCAATGAGACCAAAAAGGAAATAAAGGTATGTGCTCAGTGATGAACAATTCGTGATTTAATTATGATGATTAATATTACAATATATTTTGATATTTGTTTGATTGTTTAATTATAATTTTCTTTATGTATATTAAAGGAAGATGACTTTGATATAATGGCTACATTGGCAATGTTGCCTGACTGAGCCTCCATAGATGGTCCAAATTATAAAAATAGAAGTTGATGCTTTTGAAGAACGATTCAAGCTTCCAACCAAAAAAGTCATTAATACAAGCTTATGTCTTGGAAAATATAACCCATCTTTAGGCACAAACAATAGAAAAAGGTCTAATGTTGTTGGTCTTAGACAAATTTCAAATCTTATACCATTTGAAAACAAAACCCACATTTCAGCAGATACTATTGAGCCTATTAAGTTAAACAATAAAAGACTGATTCCAAATGGACTTAGTATAATGAGGTATAAGAACGAAGTTGACAATATAGTGATGAACATGAGGTGAAATTGAGTCTTAATACTTCTTTCTAATGTACCCATTCTATGTAACAGCAGTTAGATCTATTTTTCATGATTGTGAACAGATTCCCTTAGTGATCCTCAGTTTTAAGTCAAAGCATATTAGTGAATCAAGTTTGAAAGTACTCTCAACACATGGAATCACTCTAGATGTTAACTAAGAAGATCTATAACCTATGCTCGCTCTGGAATCATTCAAGGAATCCACATGAAGTTTCACTAGCTAAGCTCATGGCCATACACAGCGTTGAATCAAATAGATCATGTTTATTAGTACAAAGGAGTGAGGCGGAGTCAACCGTGAGGGCCATGTGTAGGCAGAAGATTCTCGGCAGTATCTATTATTGATTAAGTACATGGCTTAAGATAACAATTCCAGCCAATGTCTGTTATTGGACCTTGCAATAGTAACTATACTGTGACAGAACGTGTAACGGTGGTCAATATGAGCTTCTCTACAGCCAATACGCCACATGCCCTCGTGAAATATGCCCAGTCAGCAACTCCACCTCTGTCTTGAACATAAGACCCATCAGCACCATGCTGATTGAAAGAGACAGAAATCTTCTTGTGGGTTTAGGTTTAAAAGAAGAGATAGCAACAATGAGGTGGAAAAAGGAGCTGGAGCAGACGGACAAAGCAGGAGCAACGTGAGTTAAAGAGATCCCGAGAGGGGTATGCGCCAGCGCTTTCAAAAATTTAGGATCATACTAGATGAGACCCAGGGGATGTCGGAGTTACAGTCATATTATCAATATCTAAGTTGGACAATCCGTTGCCTTCACAACCTGAATTCATATTCAGTTGTTGTGGAACACTAATACTGCTGTCATTGACACCTTTGGTAAGTAAGGTCTCAGGCCTCTCTGTGACCTCAAATGCAGATACACTACAATCTTCACTTGAGGGAAAATCGGCTCCATTGCCAGTGCCACCCCTCTCTAAAGTGGGACTTTCGCCCCCGTTTGCATATGTCTCTCTCACCACATCTCCTGTTACGTCGTGAAGACTCTTGTCTTCACTAAGACCTGCAGATCCACTAACCATCACATTTTCAGTTGGTGCGACCGCAGTTTCTGCGGGCTTGTCATGTGACAAGTGCGTATCCATAGCGATCAAACAAGCATTGACACTAGGCAATCCAGAGCAGAGGCCTGGGGGAGCTGTGTCCAAATGTTGATGCGTATGTTCACCATCCATGTCAGGAACCGCTTCAGGGCTGCAACTGATATGATCTAAGCTGGATGCCTGATTTGCAGTACCCGATCCATGTTGGTCTACAGAACATGCCTTCAAATCCTCTGGTTTCCTTCCCTTCGAATCAACATCTTGTACTGTTGGTGATGTAGAACCTAGCATTGTAGGTTCTGAAAATCCCAGGTCCTCTGAATTCGTTGTACAAGACCCAACTCTATTGGTATCAATGATATTAGAATAAGCAAACTGACCAGTAGAACAGTCAACCGCTTGAATATCATCAGGCTTCTGCCTCTTGGAAGAAGTACCGTCAGTTTCCTCCAAAGTCGGGGCAAGCGGAGTCTTACGCTTGACAAAGGTATCAGTTTCTACTTCTAGCAAAGGGCTTGTCAGTGGGACTGCCGGAAGTAAATTCTCCGTCTTCTTGTCCAATAATTCTACTAAATTTTTGCCATTAATACCCGATGTTGCAGGCATGTCTTCGTCCTCATCGTCATAGTCCACGAGCCCAATGGTGCTCTCCCTGTCAAAAAATAATAATAATAATAAGACAAAAAGACAAAACATAAGCTTTGAATGAGAATCTAATGTTGTGAAGAAGTTCACAAGAATCTGTAGCCTACAGCATTCAATTTCAAAGTGGATATCACAAGATAACAACCTGAGAGATGAACGATCCACAGCACTGCCGTTCAATACAACAGCTTTTAAGGATGGAGGCTGGGAAGCAGGGCTGACTCCTGCAGTCGCTGTATCCTCCTCATCGTCACTGCCCACGTACACACGGACTTGTATAAATCAGATGAAAAAAATTATCCCAGAAACGTACCTAAAATCTGAACTATCAAAAAGAGTCGTGCATCTAAGTAAAACATCAACTTCGTCAGAATTACCTATCCTCGTTGAAATAGTCCTCTTCATCTTTGTCCAATGCACGCTCGTCCTTCCGCTTGCGATAATCGACAAAGTCTGTCAGGTTGTGCCTATTTCGACCTGTCCGTATGCCATGATCAGGACTAACACTTGTAATAGTACCTGCATCTCTTGTGCTCGGCAGAGGACCTTCCAAAAGCTGCAGCGACCATCGGAGCTCAGAGTTAATGCCTTCAGTAGCTCCTACACGTATTAACTCGACCACCCTACGTTATTATAAGGTTCAGCAGATATCACTTTGTTACTTTAAGTGTTAAATTTCACCTGCTCATATTTCAACTTCAATGCTCGAAACGTATCCACATAGTCAATGGATTCTAATTTTGATGAAAACTTTTCGATCAAATGCACTACGAGAGTTTTGATGCCCTCCTGCACAAGTCGTCATTCAAATATTTAACAAGATGTAAAATCATAGTTCAATAGTCTTCACACTTGGTGGTCAAGCATAGGAAAAAATATTGCCGAATATCTACACTAAAATGTAATATTAAATCCAAAATATAGTAGTTTTCATATTGCAACCAGTTTCTGTTACTGGAATTCTGACAGCAATTCATCTAATCATTGACCCGTGAGCAGACTACGTAACAAGGAAATGTAAGCTCTCAGGCTATAAAGAAGGTCAAAAATCTTAATTGGTACACGCGAGTTAAAGAGACATAAAGGTTCTTTGAAAAGTTCCACCATGTCTTCATGATAGGTTGTTAGCTCCAAGAAACAAGGAAAAATAACCACAGAACCACATGTCCAGACGAATAAGAGCCAAGAATTGATACAAATAGAGGACATGCCTTGCGGATGAAGTCAATGAGCTCCAACACAGCAGAATTGAGGAGATTGTAACGATTGCCATTCGCCATGAAGACTCCAATAATAATTTCAAACAAGTTGTGCTTCACTATGTACCGATAGTAAAATTCGTCCTGCAGCACATCACATCATTGCACAGAAGTGAGACATTCTGCTGCAGTTAACTTGTTAAAGGCCTTTCTTCTGAATAGTTAATTCAGAACATTCGTTGAGTTTTTCAATTGTAATAACAACTAACCTCTCCGTCCATTTAAACTTATATGGTTCTGTTCTCGTTGATAACACTCAATATAAAGCTAAGCAAAAGCATACTTCCACCAAACTAACCTTCAAAGCAACACACGTCCTTAAAAATCGCACAGCAGCCACAACCAAATATTTTTCCTTCCTGCGAGTCAATCTCAATACTTTCTCCACAACATGATTCCTCATCACATAATACCTGTGAAGAAACACAAACCAAAATATTCATAAATTTTAAATCAGTAATATGTTTCAACTTACCAACAGCTAACGTACAATTTTGCAAGCAAGGGAATTCATGAACATTTACATAAATTCGAATAAAATAAAGATCCAACTGATGCACTTGTTAAAATTTACAGTCAGATAACAAGCTAAAATACTGGGTAATAAAGATCGACGCTACTGTATTCACACCAATCTTATGCTGAACAAACAATTCTAAAATTACACAAAACTCACTTGATTCTGAACTGATGATGCTGGACACAAAAACACATCAGCTCGCAAACATTTCCAAGAATTTCTGGAGTAATGGTCCGCCTGGTCCCTTTTCCAACATCGATTGACGACTCATTAGTAGATTCTATGCTTCCCGCTTCTGGGGGACAACCATCAACAAGAAGTTGAACCATCTGATCCATGTATCTCTCATAAAATACCTCCAGAAAAAGGCTTTTGTCAGCAGGCGGCTGCAATCACGTAATGACAAAAATAACATCAGTGACTCTTGCAATCACAAGACATATGTCAGTTCACCATAATGTACACATCGTAAACAAAGCAGATGAGGGATAAGGAATATAATCTCCCTATTCCAGAATTCTGGATGCCTCACATTTGTAAACTACACCATCGGCAATCAACATTTAAGCCAAACCCCAAAGTTCTAGGATTAAATAACTACAAATATACGTGGAACTACAAACCGACCAAGTGTTTAGAACTTGCTGTCTCCATTGTCTCCGTATCCAGCAGCATCCGCATAACTTCCAGAAGCTTTGCTTGCAATCCTCCTTTGCTAGGAGTCAACATTCCATCCACCTGTTAAGGTAACCACATCGTTAGTGCAAGATACTCTAATCAACGTCAGTTCATGATCTAAAACTTTTCAAGCTAATTTATTTCTTCTGAATATATATATATATATATATGACAGAACATACTTTTGCATATGCCAATAGATAAGCCTATATCAAGTCAATCAGAGTAACCTATCAACTTATACAAAACATCTCAGTTCCAAAAGTCTTAAAAAAAGAAATTTTTAGATATGAGAAACAAACAAACCGAAGGTGAAGGTATTACAGAATCTGAATAACTTGAAAATAAAAGAATCAACAAAAACAAATATATAGACAAGTAAATAAAATCACCCACCAGTACACTGAATAATGTGTGATCCGGTTGGTGCACCAGGAACGTCCGTAGTAATGCGGGATTGTGGTTCAAAACTACTATTAGAATATCACACCTGGCACCAAATCACCAGCTCGTGCAAATCAGTTCGCCTGCAACTCTGCATAATCAATTGGAACTTGACCTGTCTCTGAGAATTTAAACAGAGAGGACTGATCAGGGATACCAGCTATACGAGCTAGCCACTAGCTTGCAACGGCTACTCTTAGAAACAGCGACTGTAAACAAAACGTAACACCACTAAGCATAACGAACGATGCTCACCCACTGAGTCGGATAACCTCATCTGCGTCCTTGAGAATGTCCTCTACAATGTCAAACAATCCTTCTTTGACAAGAGCACTGCAAGGAAGAACAATGGCAATTTCTGACGTATGTTGAGAAAGTAGAAGTGTTCAGAAGAAAATGAAAAATTTGAAAAGATCGATAATTCAGCTCAGGTCACGTACGAAACTGAGCTCAGTGAAACACAAAATGAGCCTTCGAAGATGCAGGGCATCAAAATCAACAATTAGCTCGAAGATCGTTTTAAGCATTTGGTTCACCAACCATATTTTAAAATGACTCCTAACATAACTAGAAATCTTTTTAAGTTTTGAAACTATGAAGAAATAATTCTCTTCAAAAAAATCTAAAAAAAATCATGATTTATAAGATAATAACAAAAGAAGGAACCCAGATCTGTAGACGCCAAAAGACCTATTCAATGCAAAGAGTAGGTAACCATCACTTATCTATCAATAAACACCAATCAGAAATGGGCCAAGCAAAGGCAAGATGCAGGTTCTCTACATCACCTTGTCACTAATGAACAGAGAGTATAAGAACGCGACCCGAATTCTTAAAGCACAACTCGAAGGAAACATGTGTAATTTGAATACCCATATAATTTACAAAGATATGTAAAATGGTACCTGTAGAGCTGGCTTCCCACTTCCGCTTGCAGGTGTTTGCTCAGGTTGCAGAATTCTTGAACAAAAAACACCTGCAACAAATAAATCTGCGAATATTACGGGAATGCTACCAAAACCTAACAAATTCTAGTAGAGGCCAACAATATGAACATAATTGTGTGATGTTAAATAACGAAATGTCTACAATTACAACTATCCCGCAAGGTATAACAACCAGTAGTTCATCAACAACTTCATGAAAAGCTATGTGCAGTTGTAGAAAAGACACTACACTTTGTCCTTTAGCATGGAAAGACAAACAAATAAATATATGAATTCAAAATTATCTTACGAACCAACTCCATGTACATAGATCTGATGTAATCCAACATTACCATCTACAACGCTTCTGCCCAACCTGTCTATTTGTCAGCGAACATAGTACTTACCAAGTCCCGCCAAGTTCTATCCGGGGTTTCGGATGAACGAAGCCTTGAGAAAAGCTCTGATAGAAAGGCAGAATCGTTTTGAAGAGCAGTCACTACCTGCATGAAGCATATGAGACATTAACATCTTCTATCCAATAACATAAAATACAAATGCACATGCACAAGAACATTAGCACACAGAAAGTACATCACATTGGCAAAAGGCTGCTCAAAGAACCTTCCTGCAAGGAAACTTACTGAGACATTGTTGAAGAGCACGATTGAGTTGATTGTAGCTAAAGTTGCGTCATCAAGCAACCTAGATAATATTACATCCTGTGTACAAAAGCATGAACATTCAAAAGCTGCAAATGACAAGAAAACAGTAGCATTTAGCCAAAAGGATGTACAAGATCATGACGAACGCATTTGGCAAAAATCTGTGAAATTAAAACTACGGGAATGTGAAAGATATAACATCAGCCCAACCTTGATATAGCCAATACGATATGTCTGGTGGATCTTCGACAGGATTGCTGGATCACGAATAGGAACAGCCTGTCACACCAGATAACATCCATATGTGACAATGACCTCTACATTTGAGCTGATAAACATATATTATTAAGCATAAACTCTACCCTAGAGAATACTGTTTTTTTTTCATTCCTTAAAATTTTCATTCATAAGAAGCTTCTATATATTCTAATCATTCATAATTTCCTGGAACAGTGGAAGATACTGGATGGATCTTACAGAGTAATACTACAGAGACGCATAACACTGGAAAAGAGAAACATCAGCCGCACATACCTCCTTGAAAATAACTTGCTCCTTGAGGAAAGTGCGGTGATCTTGGCGACTTGCAGCATCCGGATCATCTAAACACGGACAAACAACCGCTGGTGAAGAGACATTATGAAGGCATTTTATCCGTGAAAATTAGCTTAACGAAGAAATGTACGTGAGAAACCAAAGAGGGCAAATCAAAATCCACTACTACAAGCCCTCACTACGGACAAAAATATTAAAAGAAAAAGTGTACTCACATTCCAAAGCTCCAATGATATCCATCATATATTCATCACTGAAGATGATGTCAAATATGTGCCCATCGTTAAGTAACACTGCAAACAGAGAACAAAGAGAATACTGCTTCTTTAAAAATAAAAAATAAAAACTTAGGGAAGTATATTTGCATTAACAGTTGAACACGTAAAAACAATTGAATGTCAACATCAAAGGATTCAAAATGACTGTTACAGTAAACCTGCAGAATAAACTTGCCACTTGCAAACAACTTTTATTAAACATAAACAGGATTATTAACAGATTACAGTCTCCATGACCTAATACACAAACTTTGAAATAAACAAAATAATCAAACACCAGTTCAACCTAGTGACGGTTCTCTGTAAGCACACATCATGATCAAGTTCCGCTAGTCACTTGACTTTGCATATTCATGTTGTACACGACAAGTTTACAAAACAACGAAATGAAAACCAAACCTTTAAAACATAGTTGCGCTGAAACTCAAACAAAGAACATAAGAGATTTCAATCAATTAAGAGGTCAATTTAGAACTCACTGATTCCTTTAACAATCTTGAACATCAAACGCAAACATTTGAGGTTCTTGAGGTCTTCACAAGTGCGAAACAGCTGTACAAGTTTGGGTATGTAATTTTGCTGGACACACGAGCCACCAATCCACTTCAACTTCCATGTCATCCGCGAAACAGTTCCGAGAATACATGCAGAGATTGGAAGAAAGACTTTAACAAGAGGCACTATTAAAATACTTTAAGTATTTGAAAGGATTTAAATAATAAGTACAACTTGAAAGAAGGGTTTGTTCTACTTACATCCCGAACAATCACGGAAGCAACTCTATCACGATCAAAAGGTGCAACTGCTGCAACCGCCTGCAATAAATCACAAACTATTATATTAACAAAATTCATCTGGTAGAAAATGTCTCCCTCTACTAGCAAGGTGTTCCTTCGCATGTATAATTTATCTCAAAGGAAAAATATTCAGAGAAATTGCACTAAAAATAAGTTGACATTTGCAAGGGAAGCTTATAAGGAGAAAAAAATAAATGCAAGTTACCAAGTTGGGTCTCATCTGTACCCAAAAAGGCATGCTATCACAGTAAAATATTAAAGTAAAAAACATGCAGAAAGGTAGCTCATGCATGGACAAAAAGGTGAAGTCCTAAGATGCAGTGAGTTCACGACAAAAACTTTGAATATAAAAAGAAAGATAGGTGTAAAACTCCTCGCTCTGGTTGGTGCACACCTTTACAATGAGAAGAAGGTTGGAAATCTCCACCGGTGGGAGTTCCAGCATTTCAGGGGCTACACCTTCACGAAACGCATCATCTGCGACATAGTGACCGCATGGGGATATTCAAAATTTGCAACTGAAGCCAATCCTCTTTGACAGTTTGATATTTGAATGTCTATAAGCAGAAGGACCAGCACTATAGTGCTCAGGTGTGCCTGCAAGAACTGAATATTTCCTTTATATTTGACATTCACATATTGAGCGTATTAGAGGCAGTAGTTCCAAAGAACAAACACGACTTGAAAGCACTTAGGAGAACATTAATACTGGGTTACCATCATCTTGCGAAGTACCAGAATTTTCCAAATCATCACCAGCTGAACGAGTATTTCCCTCCATGCCTGGAACATAAATAATACGATTCTGTGTCGTGAATTTCAGACTAAGCGATGAAAGATCGCCTACAATGTTCGAATACAAACAATGCGACCTATTAGCAATATTCAAGCACTTATATATACAAACAAGAGAAGCGCACGTAAGCTCTATCCATGTCATCCACAAGGACTACGTTATCTCTAAAACTGGGTGTCCAAGCTACATCTAATTAATGAAACTCCAACAATTTAGAGGAAGCTTTAAGAATCTCAAATCTCATTCGTTCTAGACAGCATAATTATGAGAGGCTATTAATAAAACGAGATCATTCCACAACAATTCCAGCATGCCAGACACTGAATGTAGATAAATGTTTCAAAACTACCAAAAGCAGATACAAGATAAAAAAGCACATCCGGCATCGACCACTTTCATTGTAGGATAAAAACAGAGCATAAAATGCAACCACTACGAACTTACCACCGACTGATGGGAAGTGGGTTGAGCGTTGCACACTGCATATTTGATCCCTGCGGTATTGACGTACAGCTGGTGTTACTCTCAAAGCAATACCATTTTGAAAAATTGAATCAAGTACCATTAGCGTTATAAAATCTTTTAAATTACCACTAGGACTTGAGAAGTCATGAGAAACAAGCGACCCAAGTCATACTTCACATCAAAAACAGTGCTACCTTCCACAGGCTCATATGTGACGCTGTCAAGGGGAACCTCAAGGAACATCGCCTCATACATATCAACTGTCCTCATAACCTGAACCAAATAACTTCAAAAGTACACATGACATAATCCACTCCCCACAGAAGTCGAGCTGTTCCCACTTTTAAAGATAGAGAATATTGAAGAGATAAAATTGACTCCAAACATAAATGTCCACTATAAAAGACTGCCAACTCTCTAAAGGCCATCCCCTCCTTTCTGATCGTTTTGAACATGATGAAGTAACGCTAATAGAATGCAAGAAACGCTATTTGAAACGTCCAGACGGGAAAGGGCAAGAAATGTGACATGACCGAATCAAGCCAATCAATTGAAAATATCCATTTCATACTCTTTACTTACCAAATGAAGGAACAACCCATGGTCTCTTGGAAGCTGAGGGCCAAATCTGTTGCCACTTCTGGATCCGTCCATGATATGATAGTGTCTACAGCAACCACATACGCAATAAGATATAATTAATTAACATCATAATATGTAAACTGTATCAACAGCTGCGTCTACCACAAAACTAGACCATCATTGCAAAAACTGAACAAGCAACAAACATCGAACTAACTAAACCTAATAAAATTGATTAATTTGCAGAGAGGAAAGTAATAAACACGCCTTCTTGGCGCCTGTATATGTCATCCGCTGAAATCCGATGGACCAGTAAGGTTTGATTGTCTTCCTCATCAATGACGACTAAACCTACTGCATCCGACCGCTGCATCAACCAACAAATAAGCTGGTAAAAATATATTAAATATTCCATCCAAATTACTTAGGAAATCGTTCTGTAACGCTAAGAAATATACGCTGACTCAACCCTCGCACCTGACAGCAATACATCTACGTAGTCTAGGCTCTCATCCAGCTTTCCGGACCTGAGAGACTCCCTGTTTACCTACATCTTCCACATTTTCTCAGATTATCTCCTGCAATTCACTTTCGTCAAAATACAGAGGAGCAATGAAGCCCTAAAAACCAACAGAAATGGTGTTCAATTACTCTTGATTCTAAGTAAAGGCTAAGCTAACGCCCAGTGAGAAAATGTAAGCCCCAGACTGAGCGAAATAAAAGAATATCCCCTGACGAAATAAAGAGAAAAAATTCAGCCTTGTTAATCTCATTAGCAAGGTATGACCAAAAGCTCGTCGACCTTGCCACGGAACTCCTATTGCTTCTATCCTAAAGCTAAACCTGATTTGCAACCAGTGCACCTTCAAAGAGAGGTCACATGACCAAAACTACTAGCCACTAAATGTTTGCAAGTAGTTACCCTCTATCTTGCACAAGAAACTTCCTCTGCTGGTCGAAGACATATCAGTTCCTCTAGAGACTACCCTCTAAACTCTTGTGATCAAGTATAAAAAGCGTCGAGATTCATAACTATTAGAGACAAGATTAATCAATAGATAGTAAGTACTAACTGGATATAGAAACTAATGCATCTGTGTTTTAGGACTCTGCCACCGTGTTAGAGGGTGGTTGTAGCCAATTGCAATGCCATAACTTCTAGACTCACAATCCTGCTCCCCAAATGAGATCCACCAGCATAACCCAGAAAACCTGAAAAGATTTGGTGGCATCTCCAATGACCTAAAGTTTGCGGAGTCTTACTTTAAATAAATTTAAAAAAAAACACTTTATTATGTAATTTCCAGAATTTCCTTTTTATGTTATTTCTTCTTATCAATGACTAATATTAAAATCACTCAAACATGACCTTGGGTGCGAAAACTTACTTCTAAATATTCAACAGATACGTGACCAGTTCCTTTGTCATCCCATTTACCTTCGTCGTTAAGGCGGTAAACCTTCACTCGCTGCGGAAAACAAAGAGTAACGTCAAATCTGGTGCTCAAATAGGTCATGCATTCAACGTATAAGGCAAGAATACAAACGAGTAGTGCATACACAAATATCTCCGAACAATTTTGTCTTAAAGCCAGACTCCAGCATCAAGCATTGGGCAGATCTTGGCAGCTTTTCGTAAGCAATAAAAGCAGCCAACGTTGCTCATACATAACATTGGACCCTTCTGCTTTAAAATTCAGGTCAAAGACGATCTCTATGCATCATATCCCATGTTTTTAAGGATCCTTAGAAACAGCAGTAAAATTTACACTCAACGATAACATGGTCTTCATAAAAAGCGACTCAGTCATGAGAATAAAGACTTATTCTTCAGAAGCTGCTTTCTAAGTTCAAAAAGAACCTGAATTTAAACAAGTTGTAAAATGACAAGGCATTACAAGGACCTACACTCAATTGACTAGCAAACAGTTGCACCTCTGAATGGTCAGTCAAAAGCTCTAAATTTATCCCCAAAAGTGTAATAGAAATCATTTTTTCTTAAACCTCCCTAAAGATCACTCTAAGCACTTGGAGACTTAGTGTAGATGAACATGTTCGATACCCTTGAATTACACAGCAGTGACCAAATGACGATCTAAATTTATCCCCAGAAGTATAATAGAAATCATTTTTTCTTAAACCTCCCTAAAGATCACTCTAAGCACTTGGAGACTTAGTGTAGATGAACATGTTCGATCCCCTTGAATTACACAGCAGTGACCAAATGACGATCTAAACTTCAAGAAACGAAATTCTACGCATATATCTACTACTATATTACCTTGAATTGCAATTGCACACTTCGACAACCCAGCTGTGATAAAATACAATTTCACAAAGGTTCTGGAAAAATGCCTATTCCTTTCTCAGAAATGCAGTACCTGCAGATAGTTGAACTCCATGTGATTCGAGCGCGCTGTCAAATGCTCATGTACATTCCTTCAAGTTTCAACTCCGGCTGTGTACCTCTATAAATAATAGTTTTGAGTTAAGAAAAGAGGGATCCAGTGCAAAGCCTAAGAGTGGAGCTAGAAAACATGCATTTTTTCAGTCATGCTTTCGTCTCTTGTGTCACAATTCAAAGCAAAATTCAGATGTGTACGTGTTTGCTTTTTCTTTTTCTTTTTCTCGCAGTCCAAGCTGGAACCTAACCTGTCTTTACGAATGACCTGCTAATTGCGCCCAGGCAATTCTCGCAATAACCAGCACAGCGCACATTCAACACGCTTCCAAGAAACAGTCATGGTGGCAAAGCTTCTGCCAGATTAACCGCAGAAACCCATGGAACGCGTTGTCATCAATGTTGTCCATCGCCTCATGTGGCTTTGAATTGAGTGGTGCGCAGCCTTCAGAGCAAATTTCTGCATTAAAACTCCTCTTCGCAAAAATTAACTTGAAAAGCTCCACCACTTTAGTGCTGCTTTGTAATGTAGTCAATGAATCTCATGAGTTTCTAGTCAGCTGGAAACGATCAAAAGAGCGATCACGCTACATTTCTTTGCGCCAATTACGTATATGTTTTCAACTCAAAACAAAAATCCGCAAACAGCCGCACCACTCCTCTGTAAGCGTCATCAATAATACCCCTTCCCTCCCAAGCAAGCAACGCAACACAACATCACATAATCTCCATCCCTACTTATCTTATGCGTGCTGTGCCTCCTCTGCCCTACTATGAGCGACCAGTTATCAACGCATCATGGCAATTCACACTGTATCCTCTACATTCCGCACAACCATCACATTTCCGTTCACCCGCACCTTGCAAACGACCTACTTCCTTCCATACACAACCCTACACACCTCCATTAAAACCTAACACTGACCTCCCAACCCAGTACACCCTCTCGGCTCAGCTGCTAACACGCCTCGCACCACACCAGCACCCCTCCAGTCCTATTCCCTCTCTTTCCAACGACCGATCTCCCACGAGGACTCTCTAACAAACCCTAGAAAGCCTAAATTTCGAAAGTCCCGAAAGTCCCGCAAATGACCACCAAATCGGAAAAGGAGAAGTGCGACCAGGAGGCAGAAGAAAGCGGGAGCAGCCTGGCAATGGCAGCGTGTGGTGTCAGAAGCGGTCGGTCGAATGGATGCTGCTGCGAGAGAAGGAAGAAAAGGAAGGCTGTGGCGACCAAGACTGCACTGCACTGCGCTGCACTCCCCCCCCCCCCCCCCACCCCAAGGCGATCCTAACCCTATATTTGAATGCAGGATGGATTACATAAATAATTCATCTATAATTCTCCTTATTCATCCACTGTCATATAGTGAGTGTAGCAAATAGTATTCTTGTTGACATTTTCTCTCGTTTCAATGAAAGACGTGATCCTTCATTCATTCAACCCAAGTTGTTCTGGTAAGCTTTTTTTATCAAAGCTATCCTTCATTTTCCATCAACACTGCTGAACAAGCAGATTTATCAATAAACGAACGAATCGATTATCCACATCTGTGTGAACATCTTTTTAATATGTATTCTGTGATAATAAAACAATTAATTAATTAATATCAAGGTGTGTGATCTTAGTAAATTTTTAGGATTCCGTTCACTGAAAACAAGGTGTATCGAAACAACGTTACCGTTACAGACAATGAGGATTAGTTTTGAATATCAAAACAAGATGAAAATTTGAGTTACTTTAAAAGTTTCATATGAAGAAAAATTATTCTTGTCCTTTACATCCACTTTGAAAAAACTTATACATTCACAAATGTACATTAAAAAAATTCCCAATTTTTGTAGCATATTCTAAATTTACAAATATTATTTTATATTTTCACTTTTTTTTTTAACTTTTTGAACTTCAAAGAGTTACAATCTTTGTACTAGCACTTTAGAAATTTATAGCTCTGATTTAATTGTAACAATTGATATTTCAAATTTGTGATATCTATATCAAATATAAAAAATCATAGGTCTTATAATCTAAAAATTGATCGAGATATTCATTGATTATATACAAATTACTCATCTATCTACATATATATATATATATATATATATTCACACACATATCATTTTCATCTGTATGTATATATATATATATATATATATATATAATTGACTAGCATACATTTAGATGGAGCATCAAAAATTCCATTGACTAGAGCTAATTAGGGTGGTAAAATCCAATTATTGCCAAGTTACTCAATTATTGGGATGGGATGGAATAAGACAAGTTGGAATGGGATGGGACGGGCTAGTGGCACTGGCATAAATGAACCCGACTTATACTTGGTTGATGTGGCATCATTTTTTTTGTTTTTTATTTTTATTTTTATCGCAATATGAGGGACTAATTGACTGCCAAGGTATATTGTGTGTATGTGCCAAAAACATACTCAACATTAGCAAAACCAATGGTTTAACCACTAATCTGTATGTATTATATACTCAATAAAAATTAATCACACAATCATATATGCCAAAATACTTTTTTCTTCATTCATTCACAATTTGATTTGAAATCAACACATGAAAACTGTAAGTCAAGAAGAACAGTAGCAAGCATTTTTTTACGATATTCAAACTGAAAATCTTATTGAATATCAAATGACAATACATTTCTCATGATGATGTCTTTAAATTTATGTTGAGAAAGTAAATTCAAATTCTATTTGTTTCAGATCACATTTATTTTTAAGTTCTTCATGATTTATAATTTTGAATATGACTTTTCTTTACAATTCTGAAATATTGATATATCTATATTATAATGCAGAATCATGCATGGATAACAGAAAGTTATTATAAAATTAACTAACTGAAATGATGTTTGTGACATGTTTTCAATCACCTGAAGGAACTCCAACCCAAGTCAAGTTGATGAACAACTTGTTTACCTTAATTCCTCATTAAGAATTACTTGTTTCATTCACCCACATATACATATGTATATATATATATATATATATATATTATGGAAATGTGGTCAATTTTCATGCTTACATCCTCACTTGAATTTATATTTGCAAAATACAATGACATTGCATAAGCCCAAGTGGAAAAAAAGGGGAAGATGCATGGAGTAAGACCAAAGGAGAAGGTAAAAAGGATGAAGTTTGTGTAATATTTGCACACAGTAGTGTGCCATGTAGCTTAAATCTTCAATGGGAAGGGAGCCACTTCGGGTTTGTTTTGTTTTGTTTTTGTTCTTTTTTTTGTGTTGCAATTTCGTTATTCAGCAAATACATTTTAGAAACACATTAAGTTCTAGATTAGTATCGATTTACAATACTTTTTTCACATTGATAGTTTCACAAAAAACGATGAAAAACTAAAGAAGAATAGTAAAGCCCTAAAAAAAGAAGAAGAAAGAATTCGGCAAACAGCTTCTACTCTTTAAGAGTACGGTGCTGGTTAACAACAGGGCATCAAGAATGATGATGACACACCCTTAAGTTTTATGAAAGTCAGCAGCACCAAGCTCTAATTTTAACCCCATATTCAGATCATCGTTACAAGGCCTTTTTAGGGTTGAGAGGGATCGTGCACAAACCATAAGCCCTAATTGCTCCTACTGTTGAGGTTTCTTCTTTTCCTCAGTTGTCGTAGTCGCTCCACTGGGACCATGCGATTCGACGCATTCTGGTGAAAATTATGATCCTCCGACGTGCGCAAGCTGCTTTGTAGTCTGTTAATCAACCGTGGGAGGGACGCCAACCAAATTTTGTAGAGGACATGTGACGGAATATTGAAGGATTCGGATGCGAACCGGTGTCTCTAGGGCTATGGCGGTGACGACGGGGACGGAAGGAGGCGCTGCGCTGAAGCCGAGTGGTAAGGTGGACTCGGCCTTGGTGGAAAAGGCTGTAGATGCGCTCCTGAAGTGGAGTGGGTCTTTGAAGGGGAAGGATAAATCGCAGCTGCTTGAGGATGACCAGTTGTTGTATGTTGTGGTGGGATTGAATAAGGTGCCTGACAGGGGTAGGACGAACCCTTACAGTGTTACGCTTCCGCACCCGCTCTTCCAGTTGGATGAGAACCTCGAGGTGTGTTTGATCATTAGTGATAGAGAGAACACGAAGCTAAAGATGAGTAAGGAGACAGCCAAGGAGAGAATTGAGAAGGAGGGGTTGAACATTAGGAAGGTTATTTCGTCATCGAAGCTGAAGAAGGATTACTTTTCCTTCGAGGCGAAGCGGAAGCTGTGTGGGTCGTATGATCTGTTTTTGGCGGATGATCGCATTCTTGGGGAGCTGCCGAAGGTGTTAGGAAAGGGTTTTTACAAGAAGAAGAAGCATCCCATTCCTGTGAATCTTACGCGGGCGCAGTGGAAAGGGCAGATTATGTCAGCTCTGAGTTCGACGTTTGTGTATGTGAGCGGAGGTACTTGTAGTGTGGTGAAAGTAGCTAAAACATCGCAGCTTAGGGAGGAGATTATCGAGAATGTGAAGGCGGTTTGTGAGGGCGTGGCGCAGCAGATTCCAAAAAAGTGGGCCAACATTCGGTCGTATTATTTGAAGACTCTGGAATCTATTTCTCTTCCTATATATCAATCTCTGCCTGATATGCCATTTAAAATTGATTTACCTGGATTGTCACAGCCGGACGCAAATCAAGGCATGAAACAATCCAAGAAGAAAGTTAGATTAGCTGAAGTGAAGAAGGAGAAGGTAGATGGGTCATTTATGAGTGAAAGCGAGGACAAAACAGTTGTAGTTCAGGATACTGTAGCATTTGATAAGTCGAAGAAGAGGAAACAAAGAAATGTTGAGGGCAAGCCGAAAAAGCCTCGAACAAAAGCCTAATTTGTCTTTTTCAGCTCTAACTTTTTTAATTTGCAGTTCTAAGAAAAAGGTTTGGGCAGTTGCGTCTGGTCGTGCAATTCCATCTCAATGTTTCACGTAGTCGTTCCTAGCAAAACGGTTCTTTACGGCTAGTTTTCTCATTCTTCTAAGGTAATTAGTTCTGGCTTGGCAAGGAGCTGCTGTAATCTTACAAATACACTTTTTTACTTATTTCAATTCAACCTGCATTTGGATGGTGTGGTCCAGGTGTTTCTTCGTGTGGGCAAATCTCTTGTCTGGGATATGTCAGCTAGTCAGATTATTAGGCATCACGTGTTCAGTTGGCTGGGTATGATTGTTACTGTTTTGTTTCTTGCGTGTGCACAGTATGCTCGGTTTCGAGGTTATTACTTCGTTGGATTCCCAATCACCAGCTTTTTTTCGTCTTATAAAATTATGTTTATTTTTTCCACTGCTTAGTTGTTCTAACGCAGAGTGTTTCTTATTGTACTTGCGTCTGAATTATCCATATTAGGTTCTTTAGCTTGCAGCTTTTTAGACAAAAAAATCAACCGTGGATGTGGCGTTATTTTGATGCTAGCGGAGGAATCTGGTACTTGCAGGCAACCTGAAGATTTCTACCAGTGCGACTGAAAGGATGTCTTGTTTGCTGTCCGCTGATCACAGAATTGTCTCTAAAAGCGTATGAATCTGCAAGTACTTGGACACCTTGTGTTTGTTCTCCGAGCGTAATTGTTGTAATTGCGACGTGCTTATTTGTTCCTCTTAATAGAGCACATGTTTGAACTTAATGCTACGGGCAAATGTACTACAGTATCTCTCAGGTGCATCTGTGCTCCTGAATCGGTACTTCTTGAATTCATGCTAGCGTCTTGCTTCTAAGATATGCGTCCTGTGATTGTTTCTGCTGCTTCTCTTTCGCCTTTGCTTTGCACTCTGCTATTTGGTTTGTTACAGTATCGTTATCTTAGATGTTGAAATTTTGGGAAGTCTGAATTTCACTTTTCCAGTTAACAGTTTGTCTTCTTAATCTTTATTTTGTTGTACTTTCTTTTCTTCTCTTTTCTTTTCTCTCCCTTTCCCCAAAACTTTCATGTGTTACCTCACAACGCGTTCCATCATTGCCGCTGTTGAATGAACTCTGCCACGAAATAGAAATAATGCTTGTTTTCATTTTTTGTTTTCATTGTTTTCGTTGTCCGTTACGCTATGGATTTTCACCAGGCTATTGCTGGTTGTGCAACTTCGAGGTTTGCATGGTTGCTCTATTTGTGTACACATCGAGCGAGCTGTGATTCTACACTTTTTGCTGTCATAGCTTGGATAATCTGTTGCCAGATATTTTTCTGTGTACGGTTTTACCCATTATACAATTCTTCTGTGACTGCAGCTGGAAGTATACTCGAGACATCAAGCTTTCACCATCGTATTCTTTGTGGATTACTTACCAAGGATACTAATTACGATTTTAAGGAACGGTATATTCGCGTACATTGCCGCCCAGTCGAATCTTACATTTTATTTGTATTCTGTTTGTTTGTTTGTTTGTTTGTTCTTTTTTCTTTTCGTTTGTGTCTGTTTGACTATACATTAGTCTCTTCTTTTGTTCTAAATTCGTCACGGAACATCTTCTCGACGTCCAAATTTATTCAAAACCTTAACTTGCACCATCTTTATGCCCTGGAGTGGTGGTATTTGTGTCCTATGGATTCGTCCTAATTTTTGGAGGCTTCTAAGTTGACTCTGACTATTTCTGAACTTTATTCATCATTTCCAGGACTTCTGGCTTTCGTATATACTGTAGCCACGAGTCGTTGCATCGAGTGCTTGCATCTTGCACAAGCAATTTGCTTCTGCTTCGGGTACATTGGCGTGGTGGAAGACATTAGCAATAATACGGGACAAAACGGGAAGTTGTAGATCATCGAATCAGACACTTTCAAACACACCGCATCTCAACAAGTTTTCATGTTAGTCTCCTCTTCACTTAGTTTCTATTGATGCAGTGCATGGATGCCATTGTACATTCTAAGAACCACCAACAAAGAGAAGAAACAATCCATCACATCAGCTACTCATTGGGACCAGACTCTGCCGTGGCGAACTTGCTCATGAATGGTGCCGGGGTTTAATCTGCAGCACGATTCATGCCTGATGTTTCAGATTGTCTTGCGTCTTCTGCGACAAAATTGATCCGGTGGTTTTGTCAGGGAGATGATGAATGCTGGAGTGTAGAGAGGATAAGTGAGAATCTGAAAGGGGGAGAAAGGGATGCTGGTGGAGGAGCCATTGCAACACGACCACAATGTCAGGCAGCATTTTGACCACACCCATTTTTAATGCTCAGGGTTGTGGTCAAGTCTCAATTCAACTGTCATAACTCGGACAGTTTGTTTCAACAGGGCACGGTGATGACTAGTCAGAATCAATATATATATACAGGAACACACATGATGCCTAATCTGATAGAATTGGGCATACTCACCGTCTAAACTTAAACATAAATGGTGGCAACACAAATTTGGATCTATTCATTGAATTTCTGTTCCCTCCGTCACCGTCTGAGGATTTTAATGATTCTCATTGTTTTCTTTCATATGTATCCTAAAAGGTTCCACATGGACAATTTTTTAGTTCATGTACAAAGAAATATTTGCAGTTTAATGCATCTGTGTTATGAAGGACCTGGTTTGAACAACTCTCATCGATGATCTCTAAATCTTTACCAACACTTTCCTCGCAGAGCCTGGACATTGATCCCCGGGATGGACTGCTTCTGATTACTGGGTCGCACATGAAATGGCCGTGGCTTGACCATTTGCAGTTACCTCGGTTGAGCATCAGAAAGGCAAGCGGTGGGCCGCGCATGGTCGGTGGCCACCGCAAAATATGAACGGCTCACTCTTTTCCTCATCAGAACCAATTCACAATGAGAAACCCCCTTGCGATCAACACTAGAACGGTCATCAAAGTCGTGGTGCTGACAAACGGAGAAAGCTCGGAGGGCGGAGCATCGATATCTCAGAATCCACGGTTGCCGCGACGCTCGATGCCTCTTATGCTCGGCAACTAGCTTGCTGTCTACGACTTAATCCCCACAAACCATGAAGGTCCAAGTGGGCCTCTCACAAGCGAACAGGAAGGAAACAAACACCAAAGGATCTCACGATCGTTCAGGCGTTGCGAAAACAAGATTTTGATGGTCAGAGAGCTCATAAAACGAAACACAAATTATAACAAATACGAAATAAAAACACATGCTCATTTGTGTACAAACCGAAAGGTGATGGGGCTGTGGGGAAGGGAAACTCTACAGGAGACCCACCCAGCCATGATCTGCGTCACACAATCAATCCTGGGGACGATTCTGGAGCCAGTGATGAAGCACAGATTGCTGCAGCTCTGAGTTTCAGGTGGTTTCACCGACACTGTGCTGAAGCCTGAGCGAAGCATGCGGGGATGGATGCTGTCTGCCATTCTTTGCTTTGAAATCCCGATCCTGAAGTAAACTGGTAGTAAACCATCCTCCTAACCGTTGAGTTGTAAGCAAAGGTTCCAGGGCTTGCTCTGATGTGGGTATCATCTCCACACAGTCACCGCAGATTGTACCGACACTGTGAAGAATGAGCATTGTGGAGCTCACAAGCCTTTGAAACAACTCAACACAACACAAAAACAAAATATGGCAAAACAAAAGAAGGAAATGTACACAGAAGAGTGGGTACTGAGCACGGTGATGTTGTCAAAATGTATGTGGATATGGGCATGGAAAATTGATTCGGCTGGGAAGGACTTGGAGCTCCGAGAGCGAGGTTGACCATAAACGTGTAGCATAATAATATTATGTTTGATTAGCATTATATTTATTAATTCCATGTGTATTTATACATATACACATCCCTTTCAAACCTAAACTGTCAAATTAATTTAATTTTGCAGCTGTGATAGCAATAAGATACCCCAATATTAAAATAAATAAATATACATAAAAATCAAAATACATAAGTATTATTTTATTTTATTTTTTAAACTTTAATTATAAGTTTAATATTTTTTATATTTATATAAAAATTATGTATATAAAATAGTAATAAATATTAATTATTTTGGATACTTTTTAAAGATTTTTCTAATCACTAATATTATTTCTATAGTAACACTTTTATTCTTGCTATGTATCATACTTCAAATATTTATATCATTATAATTATGAGTTTTACTTATTTATTTATTTTTAATTGTGTAAATATGCGCTTCCAACGAAGTTGTTTATGTTTTATTATTTCACTTAAATCTAATCAATGCATAGTTTATTTATTTGCTTAAGTCTCCATTTTACTTATCTTGTACATTGTTTAGAGCTTTGCACTCCATCACCAATCCCTCAATCTTACACTTGGTGATGTGCTCATTCTACAAGTAAGTGAGAGAAGTAGACTTGTCAACGTTGAAGAACTCGTTTTGGATTCCTATAGCGCACTCTCCCAAGTGCCTGAAAGCCTTGCTCTGTTACCCCACTTTAGATTGTTGAGAATGAGGTCGTGTAATGCTTCTATCTCTGTGCAACTGAAGCAAGCAATTTTGGAGGAAAGAGTGACATTGAAGCGCTAAATTACTTTCTCTCATATAAGTAATTCCACCTTATGTATAAGACATGAAGCCATTCTATTTTCTTCGATAAGGTGGGATGTCAAGATTGCATGCTAAAAAATGAAATGATAATTAGAGAAATTCAAAAAGTGAGCCAACAAGATACCTTGAGTTCTGCTTCAATGTATCTCCTATTTTGTCCCTTCTATTAGAAATTTGTTAAGTATAATTAATCCTTGTTTAGTATGGAGGCCCTTGGTGGTCTTTAAACTAAAGGAAAAATAGTTTTGTTGTCAACAAAAATAACTAGACTAATTTTTTAGAGGCCATTAAGGTCTTTCATACTTAATAAAGTTCTCTAATTAATTAAACTCAATAAAATTTGTAATTGAAGAGACAAAATAGGGTATATATTGGGACAAAACTCGAGGTATCTTGGTTTATATTTCAAATTTCTCTAATTACTTTTAGCACAAATATAAGTCGTAAGAAAGCTAGGCAGCAAAACATCCAATTTTAATAGCATACTATGGAGGAAATTGCAAGTAGGTTAGAGATTTTTTCTGCGATCCACTTATGTCTCAGCTTTTGATAGTTTGCGAGGCTGCAAATGGTCACTGTTGATTAGCTTGGTGGCACATCGATATCCTTCTGGGTATAGTTGAGTATGAGATTGT